GCCCCCGCCAAACCAAACGAACTAAAAAACAACAACAACTCTACAAAATTAAAACAAACAAACCCCACCGTCCCACCAAAAATTGAGCTACAGATAAACAAACAAAACAAAACAAAAACAAAACATAAAACCCAGAGTAAAACAAGTAAACAGTTCTACGAAATCACGAATTAGTCGCGTGGTATGTAGTTTTAGTAGAGGTTTTACGGTGTTCGCAACTGCATAAGGTCATATGAGCACCAGTGGTATGACTTTCTTCCAGATTCCCGATGGAGAAACGTGAGGGAACTGGCCCTATTCTCTTTAGGAAAAAAAATCCATTAAACAAAAAAAACAACAACCCCATACTGTTAAAAAAAAACTGATTGTAAATATAATACACATCCATTGATACAGCTCAGGTCATCTAGGAGACGAGTTGTGTCAACCCTGCCTGTAAGGGCCAACCTGGACTTAATGTGATACAGTGTCCCAGCTGACAAAGGGATACTTCCGACAAATAAATCAACTTCTTCACTCTGAAATTGAACTCACATCTTCTGCATGAGGCAGGGAAAAACTTGACGTTACACCATAGATGCCAGTAGATTTGAATCGACATACCCCCCTCCCCCCAACCCATCAAATTATTTATTCTGTCTGACAGAGCTCTGACTAGAGTTTTTACAAAGCTACTTACCTCCTTGTAGCTATTTTTGGAAAATGAAAACATTCTCGTGATCTTTAAAGCCTATTAGAATACCATAGGGATACTTTCAGAAATCTGATTATGTATCAAGCTTAATCATTATTATTTGTGACAATTATAAATTAATATTCATTTGTAACATATGTTGTATGACTATGGGTCTGTTTGTGAGCGTGATATTATGTACGTTAGTAATAATATTACTTATGCACATATTAATATTAGTATAATGCTTGCACTCACGAACAGCCACACAGCAATCATAATAGGTGTGTGTGGAAGAGAGTTTGTGTGAGAACGTATGTGTGTATACGTCCGTGTGTGTATGTGTGTGTGTGTGTGTGTGTGTGAGTGTGTGTGTGTGTGTGTGTGTGTGTGTGTGTGCATGTGTGTGCGAGTGTGTGTGTGAGTATGTGTGCGTATGTGTGTGTGTGTGTGTGTGAGTATGTGTGCGT